ATATACTTAGCTGTGAATGTCTTCATCCTCACAACCCCAACAAATGCCAAGTGGAACACACAAGAGCAGAGAATAAAATGAAATTGAGACATAGATGCAGTCCAAGTCTTGCTGCAATTTTTACCTTTTATAGATTTGTTACTGATGGGGAAACTGCAAATTATGGGACAGAAGATTGCTCTAGTAGGGTCTAGCAGTTGGACCCCATCGTGAGAGGTTTGCCTCCTCAACCATTGCGCCCTTCTCTTTCCTGCCCTCTGGAGGGTGTCAGAGAACATGAAATGCAAGTACCTTCTGTGAAAGTGATAGCCAGGATCCTGGGTAGATACTACAAGAGAATTTTCCTGTGCCTTTTGACCTGTGGACCCTCCCTACACAGCTAGAGCTTATATAGGTGGGGAGTAGACACAGTGAAGACAGGGAAAGCATTTGGCAGGGCCGAGACCTTAGGAAGGAAGCTGTCTGGCTCTGTAAGTAGAGCACCAGATTCCTTTTAGTAGAACTCAGTATGAATTGCATCTATCGGTAGGAAAAAATCAATTCTGGAAAGGCAAGATGAAATAGGAGATAGAAGCTAGGGTGTGAGGTGTTTTAACTTTGAAGTTCAGGTTCGGTGGAATCTAAAGAAGAGGGTATTTTGTGGCAAGCATTTATTGGAGCGTATTAAATTATTACTCAAGTTGATAGTTTTTGAACTATGTGCCTGCCGTAATAGTATCACATACCTGATATCCTGTGAGTGTCTGCTGTGTGTGAGGCACTCCCTTGTATTTGACACTTTGCCTTTGTGAGGTAAGTTCCCATTATGAGACCCTGAGAGGTTGAGCAGCTACTGTAAGGTGAAGTCAGTGTTTCACCCCAACCAGTCTGGCATCCTGTCTGTGAAGAACTGTAACATGCTGCGTTCTTTCACAGCTGAATGGAACGGTGTAGCATCTTCTAGAAACAGTGAGTTCCATATGAGAAGAGTGTAGGTAGTGGGAGATGAGATGTGTGTGCGCGCGCGCGTGCGCGCGTGTGTGTGTGTGTATGTGTGTGTGTGTGTGTGTGTATGCTATGTGAAGTATTTGGAACTAGGAAAGGAAGATTTTTGTGCCTGCCATCATGAAACTTAAAGTCCTGGAAGACAAAATGTGACAGGAAACAAATAGCACATTTATATGGAAGAGTTAGAAAATATTTGTTCAAGTATAAGTGGGAAGAAGAGTAGAGGATATTCCTTTGAATTCAGTTGCTTCTAAGCAATTCTCTTTTGAATATTAGGTCTTCACCACTGGCACAGATTTACCTTGTGCTGGGGTTTTGACTTGGTCTGTTAGAACCTTGCCCTTATCAGTCAACAGTTTGTCCCTTAGAGGAGTTGCCCTTAACTATGACAGTCATCATTAAGATCTCATAAGCAGAAGAATTCATTAACAAGTTGAACTGGACCAGCTCTTTTTTTGTCTAGTACATCAAACACTTTCAAATTAATAGTCACTGACTATTTGATGATCAGCTTGGAAATGGTTGTAGGGGACAGGAGGAAATCTAAGCCTGGTTGCAATCCTTGGTTATGTTTGCCCTATTTCCATCAATACTTCCAGAGAGCATCCTGTGTGCTAGGCACTGTTCTTGGTGTGAGGGCAAGATAGTGCACGACAGACTGCCATGACACATACTTGTAATGTCAGCAATGGGGAGGAGGAGGCAGGATGATCCTGAGCTTGAGGCCAGTCTGGGCCATATGGTGAGATCCTTTCTCAAATAAAACCGAGGTAGGATCCTTCCACCAAGGAGCTGACATTTCCTCAGATTTCCTTTACCAATGGCATAAGGCACCGGGGGAGATATATATGGGTTTGGGAGGCTGCCCGTGCACAGAGAGGACATTGTGTTGTGGTTGACTGCATTTGTCGTGGATGGGAATAGCCATTGGATACCTGTTTCCTAGTACCAACAGCACCATTCACATTGGGATGAGCCTACCCACTAGCCAGCATCCCAATCCTGTTGTTGATTGGTGGTAACGTCAATGGTCACAGAACTCCTCATCACCATGGTAACACCTCTAAATATTCCTCTGGTGACTAGTGTTCTGGTTGGATTGGAGCCCTCCTGTGACAAAATATTCTAAAGATGTTAAAAGAGAAAAAAAAGGCTCAACCAATAAATCTATTCTAAATGACTGAGTCATTTGTTTTGATTACCTGAGTGATTGCCAAATGTTAATTTAAAACTGAAATAGGCCATGAGCTCACTCCCCTAACAATGCTGAGTGTTTGAGCTAATACAGCTTGATAATGAGAGAGCCAGATCCACTGCCAGTGCTAACATTATATGATAAACAGACATTTGGAGAAATATGCAGAACATCTTGGCAGTTTTATGTTAACTCCAAGGGTTGTAAATACAAAATAAACGTGTTACCATGAGCCATTTCAAAGGAAGTTAATTTTTTTTCATTTCTGACTTTTTCTAAAAAGGTAACTTTGCTCATTTTTTCCCTAACTTAGGCAACTGGTAGCTGTTCTCTGTGGTATCCTAGCTCTTCCCAAACACATCCTGTTCTTCGCATATCCAGTGTGAGGTAAGTTTTACTAATTACTACAAATTCTTTTGCTGATCTCCAACCTTCCAATTTGTGGCATTGTATGAAGAGCTTTATTTGTACAAGAGGTTTACAAGGGCTTATTTTAATTGGCCCAACCAATATCACTACTTACCCTAAATATTAGCTCTTAGGGGGAATGCCTTTTTAATGGAAAACCTCATTTGCTTTGAATTTAGGAGCATACAAGCGAATGTGCCAGGCACAACAGAATGCTTAGAAGGATTGCTTGAAAATAAAGACCTGCTCATGTCACAGTGTGAACAGTAGGGAGCAGAAAAGCTGCATGGAGCAAATGCTGGGAAGGCTGGGAGGAGACTCCTGCCGCTGACCAGAGAAGATTGTGCTGACCAAGTACATTAACTACCAGGAAACTTTTCATCCTGATTGGAGAAAGTCAAGGTGCAGGACTGCCACTCTAAACCTGAGAGTAGGAAAGCCAAGGAGTGCTTCTGATGTGTCACAAAAACATGTGCTAATTTACCCTCAAGTTCAGAAGCAATCCTGCTACATTGATGCATTCACTTGGCCACACTGTCCAGACCTTTCATTTACCACACATTGGCTGTACATCCTCCATCCTCTACTTCCTTTAGCCACAGTGGCTGATTTATTCTCCATAATAATACAGGTGTTCCTATTTCTTTCCTTGAGACAAGGGATGTTCACCTTTTAAAATAATAGGACAGGTATCTAAAAGAGAGCTCATCCAGGCACAAAGCAGTCTCTATGTATTTACAAGAGGGATGTGATATTTGCCAGAACTATATCCACTGGCATTTCCAGTTTCATATATGAAAAGGTTGCTGTGTTTATGCCTTCTTGACCCAACTCACCCCACACAGACAGATATGCAGTGTGGGTTCTCTCAGTCATGGTCGATGTTCAGTATGTATAGCAGGTCTCTGTGCCGAACTCATTATAGATTTGAAAATGCACTTCAACTACACCTTATCTAGAATCCTTGGAATCAGAAATGTTCACGGTTTTGGATCTGGGGTGGTCCTTTTGGAATATTTGCATATACGTAATGAGACATAGGACCCAAGGCTGAACATGAAATTCTGTTTTCTATGCGCGTTATCACAACCTGCAGGTGACTTCTCACAGTATGTTCATTGTACCCATATTTCCACTGTGTCTCATCATATAGACCAAGTGTGGACCTTCCTACAACTTTGCTGGGTGCATCAGCATTCAACAAGTTTCAGATTTTGGACATATTTTTGGATTAGGGATGTTAAACTTGTGTATCTGTTCAAAATAAAATTCTAGAGCAAAGTTTTAGAAATGTATAATCTGAGTTTTCCTATCTTCTCAATTCTGGCAGCCAGAAGTGCTTCCAAAGGCATGGGGCTTTAAACTGACTTCCTTGCAAAAGCTTCATGTCTGACTCAGTTCTGCTGGAGCAATTGTTCATAGATAACCTTTACCTAGCAAAGTTGTTTTCAGACTTGAAAGGAAATCAGGGGCTGGAGAGATGGCTCAGCAGTTAAAAGCACTAGCTGCTCTTGCGGAGGACGTAGGTTCAGTTCCCAGCACCCATATGATGTCTAACAACCACCCATAACTCTAGTTCCAAGGTATCTGATGCCCTCTTTGGCCTTCATGGGCACTGCATGAGACAGGTACATTTACATACATGCAGGGCAAACAACTCATACACATAAAATAAAAACAAAAACATTTCTTTAAAAAGAAATCAGAGAAATGTGTCTCCTAAAGAAAATATTAAATCTCACCCCAATTAAGAAACTCAAATTACAACTGCTTTGTCTCAAGCAGGAGGCTGTGACTCTCGCAGTTACAGAGCTTCATTAGTAGAAAATTTAGGTAGAACCATTTTAATTGAAGTTTTTCAAACACATCTTTAAATGGCTTTCTGATACCAAGACTACCCCAGTGACATCTGTACTTTACCCAAATTTTGTGTCTTTGAGGTTTTCTTTTAGAGTAACAGTGAGTTTCTCAAATGAGTGAATTAAATAGCATCTGCTAAATTCTTTTTAATCACAACAGAATTATATAGAATTATGCAGTTGCATTTTGTGTTCTTTCTTCCTTTAATTCATTCAACCACACTATGTGTCAAGTCACGAATATTATGTGCAACATAAAAGTGATAGATTTGGGATCTAATACTCTTCAGGCATAGGGCAACCCTTGATTATTTTCCTTTTGCCAGGTGAGGAAACTGAAAATCGCTTTGTTTAACATATCATATTGCTAATATTGAGAAGAGGATTGAACAGCCTCATTTCTCCTCGGATCCTTGAGCCTGTGAGCTATGCTGCCTCCATTTAAGCAGGGAGAAACATTAAAGTAGATGATAGTGGTTGGAGGTGCAGCCATGCCCTAGACCAAATGCCCCCCCAAATGAATAGAAATGAAAACTCTGCATTTTACATCCTTTTTTCTTTCTTTTTTTTTTTTTTTTTTTTTTTTTTTTAGACAGGGTCTCCTTGTAGCCCCAGCTGTCCTGGAACTCACTATGTAGACCAGGCTGGCTTTGAACTCACAAAGATCTGCCTGCCTCTGCTTCTCAAGTGCTGGGATTAAAGGTGTGCGCCACCACGCCCGGCCCTTACATTCTATTTTTCAAGTTTATTTTGAATCATTAAACAGATCAGGAAAATAGAGTTTGCGGTTTCCACGGAAGGATGTTTTATTTTTAAAATAATGGTATGTTCCATTTTAAGTTTTATACAACATTTATATTAGACTTGACATTATTGCATTTGGCTGCTGTTAGTTTACAGAATTATTTGGAACACAGAGTTGAACACACAATTCTTAACACACACATGAGCTGGGCTAAACCTGACTATTCTGATTTGCACTGTAGAAATGAAAATATTGTTAATTAATTAGACACATTTCACATTTAGGAAATATTTGTGTCACTGACATACGGTTATTTTCATTATTGGTTTGGCAGTTTTTAAATATTCACCAAACAAAATTAAAAAGACAGTAGTCATAATGATTTTACGAATTCCATGTCTATTGATGTGACCTCTCTTCTTAGAACCCAAGTAGTCAGCATGCAGATCTGCACAGATGGGTTACACAGGCTTAGAGTTTGGAAATCGTCAGTCTAGAGCCATGTTTTGTAACTGGTGGACTGGATCTGGCACACAGTGGTGGTCTTTTAAAATATCAAGTGAGTTTGCCAGCATTTAAAAATCAAGAGGCTTCACATTTTTACACATCCACATTTCCCAGCTTCTCTTGAAATATCAGAAGATTTGGCAGCATCAAACCTGCGTTCCTGTTTGGCTACAGTAGGCCATAGCCAAATTACTGCTATTCCTTCAGAGAGAGCACAGGCTCTTGAGGTTTGCCACAGTCTCCAGCCCAGGCTGCAGTCTACTCAATACTAAGGGCTGGGGCCTGTTGCCCTTACTGGAATGTTTTACTCACATAAGTACTTGAGTTTTCAACTCCAGTTCAAGATAAAATTGTGGGTGCAAACTTCAGATCATCCTTTTTTGCAGAAGATCGGCTTGTTTATTTTAATGTACACAAGGCTGAACGACGTTTATTTTAGGGAGATGCTTTGAAAGGGTGGTAGGTAAACACTAATGGGGGAGGGGTACTTACTGATGGGTGCCCGCCCGATTAAGAAGAGGAACACCAACAAGTGGTAAGTACCCAGTGTTTTTAAATTTTATTCTGGAAGTTTTTTGTGGTCTCCCTTGGTGCTTCTCAAACCTCAGTGTGCACATTTTGAGACCATTGGTCTAGAGTAGGGTTGGAGATCCTACAAGTCCAAAGGGCAGCAGGTAATTTTGCTACTCATGTAGGGCTCTACTTTTCTGAATTGCAAGGGGATGCTACCTAAAGCAGTCCAAAGAGAAAGACACCAGGCATATCAATGAGTTTTTCTTTGGCTTTAGAGAGAGAAGACTATCTTACAAAGGCTGTTTGCAGGTCAGTCCTTAGATAAACCTGGGTTCACTTCCAGTTGCATCAAGGTAGGTTAAAAAAGTTATTTTTAATAGTGTATCATATGTAGAGGATAAATAAAACTTAAATTTTGTTCTACATTATGTGCTTCTAGTTAAAAATGTTTAGAGCACAGGAATAATGAATTAGGGCTTTACACTTTATAGGAGAATATACTTATATGGTTCTCAGAATGCTTATGAATACAAGCACAAAAATAGGCTAATTATCAAATCTTTAGGTATGAAATAACTTCAAGTACGAAATGATAGGAAAAGTCAGAAAAGAAGATACATCAACAGATTCAAATATCTACAGCTCTACTATGAAAAAAGTATAATTAAAATGGCAAGGAAATCATTTCAGGAAAGTTAGCTGCACATATGAAAAGATCACTTCTGTGTGTGTATATGGAACTCATGCAGATTCTAAAAAAGGCATATACATAGACCTGGCATGAGGTAGATGTTCCAGAACTATTGGCCGAATGAACTTTTCATTAGTTAGTTAGGCATTTACATTGCATCAGAAAATAAAGAAATGCATGAAAACTTTAGCCTTAATGGTGAATAAAGACAAAAAGTTCAAACATCAAAAAAGCACATTTTCACTTTCATATCAATTAAAACAAAAAGAGATTTCCATGATGATATGGCACCTTCCTTTAGAGACATAAACTTATTTGCAGATGGTGACACTACATGGCAGAAGTTGTGTGCTGGTACCTTTGAATCCTATTTTTGGGAAATGTGTTCTAAGAAACAGATTATCCTAAGAAGAGAAGAAAACTGACTTGAATTTTAGATATTCATCATAGTGTTATTTGTAAGAGTAAACAACTGGAACAAATTTAAGTGGCCAACATTAGAAAAATGGTTCATTTACTTAGAAGATACTTGTGTTTCATATTAGTGATTGAACATGGGACTTTATGTGTGCTAGGCTGGCATTCTACAACCAACCTACATCCCTAGCCCTCCTTTTGTTTTTCATTCTGAGATACAGTCTCAATATGTTAACCACTCTGGTCT